TGTAAATTTGCTCAGCATAAATTTAAGGACGGCCCAATTGGGGAAATGATATAAATTTTTGGGGTGCTTTGTTTTTAAAAAAAAATGAGGGTTTCGATTTCAAATCCCAGGAGTATAATCACGAATGCTCATTGGATTTAATTTAACAAGTTTTTAACTTTTACATTTGCATTGCATTGATGTTTTAACCCAATTAAAGTTTTTTTTTATCCCTTTCCTGCTAAAAAATGGCGGGGGGCTATAGTGTTCCTTGTTCCACCCTTTTCCGTAAATTCCATTTTTCATCATTTTTCCGTTAATTTTTTTGTAACAGTTGCCCCGTTAAAACTCTTTAAAAAAGGATAATCTTAAAAAAATATAGGTCAAATTTTAATGGTAAGATTTTGACAGGGGTTATGACCCTTGATAAAATTTTTTCGGGTTTGGTTATTTTTCCCCCAATGGTATTACACATTCAACTCAAATTTGACATAATTATGGATAAGTCAAAGGAATGTGCAGGTCAAGTTGGAATTTGATTTTTTGTAGAGTTATGCCCCCCTTTTACCCTTTAAAATAATAAGAAATTTTTTAGGGTTTTTGTTTTATTATCACCCCAACGTTTCAATTTACATAGGAAAACATCAAAAAAAATGTTTCCCGGCCAATTTGAAAATTTTTTCATGGTTACATGATTTTTGACAGAGTAAGGCCCCTTTAACTTTGCAAAAAAAGGAAATTTTCAGTTTCCATTCATTATAGCCTAAACAGTATTGCACATTCAACTCAAATTTGACATTTGGATACGGTATGTCAAATGAATATGCAGTTCAAATTTGGGTCGTGGTTCGATGATTTTTGACAGAGTAAGGCCCCTTTAACTTTGAAAAAGAAAGAAATTTTCAGTTTCCTTTCATTATCTCGACAACAGTTGTACATATTCAACTCAAATTTAAAATATGGATATGTCATAAGAAAACACTGGTCAAGTTTGAATTTGGTCATGGTTTGATGATAGCTGACAGAGTTATCCCTCTTGAACTTTGAAAAAAAATCAGAAATTTTTAGTTTCCATTCATTATCTCCCTAATGGTTGTACACTGTTCAACTCAAATTTGAAGAATATTGATATATCTTAGGATAAGCAGTTCAAGTTGAATTTTGTCGTGGTTCAAAGATTTTGGACAAAATTATTCTCTCTTGAATGTTGGAAAATTTTGAATTTTCAGTTTCAGCACTCATACTTTCATGGAAATTTTTGTAGTCATTATTTTGGCGACAAATATGCATATGCAATTTACAAAAGGTTAACACTGAATAGTTTCAGTGCCTTGAACTTTGAATAAAAATGATTTGTGTTAACATTGAAAAGTTTTAAGGGCTTTGAACTTAAAATGAAAAAAAATAGTTTGTGCAAACAAATTTGGAACTAAATATTATAACATCTGAAATTTTGGCTGCATGTGGGGGATTCAGTGGTGTGACGATACATTTTTAGTTCCTAATGTCATTTGGTTGATTGATGTCATATTTGATGTCATATGACATGAAAGCATTCTTTTTTATGCTGTGCATGTATCTGCAATAATGATGCACTGGCAATCATGATGCACTTGATTGTATGTTCTGTTTAACAGGAGAATGGTGTGAAGCATGTTAGAATTAGATATTGTGCATTTAGTCATTGCTGCCTGTACATATTACAATGAGATGAGAAAATCTAGTATTAACACAGATTCTATTGCTTGATTAAGTCTACTAATGCTCCAGAAAGCATTTTTTATCTGGGAGGAAAGATGCTTTGTTGCTATGATTGCATTCATCCTTAATAATAAATTGTATTTTTGAATCAATACAGGTATAAGTAAAGATCAGTTTATTCCGGTAAAAAAAAAAAAAGTCAAATAGTTAAATTTTCATGAATGCTAATTTAAAAAAAGGAACAAATTAAAAAATTGTTTTACAGAAATTTAAATGCTACTACCTTCTTGGGGAAGAAAAATTACTATTAATATTTAAACAGGTATCTGGTGTTTTTAAGCTTAAAATAGAACAAATGTAAATTGAAACCTGAAATATGAAATGTATACTGTTTAATAAAGCAATCAGAGAGAGAAACGGGTATTGTGATTTTACATTGATCACCTGGTATTTCTACATTTCTACTGGGTAAATCGCAGTTTTAAGAAACTTGAAGGAAAGAACTTAAGTAAACAGTAATAGTTTACAAAGAAAATATTAGTTTACTTAATGTAAATTTTTTCATTTTTTTTTCTCCAGTGGATTTTAAAAATTGTGGAATACTGGTATAAGTTTTTACACCTGTAATATCAGTGATTTGAATCAGTTTTACTGGTTTGTCTCTATCAGAAGGATTTATAACTATGTATTTCTGATTTTAATGTTTTGATGTACGAATTTGTTTCTTAATTTATGAAAAACAAATCCTAAAATTGGATTCTTAGAATTTTATAAAAATTTTAAATGTTCTGAAAGGATACTGATCATTTCTTTATTGGATAAAGAAGGATTTTATTTTGTTTGTAGATTTTGTGTTCACTGTAAACAAATAATTTTTTTTATTCAAAAGAATGGTAGAATAAGACAGGAGTTCAAAGAGCTTGTGTAAAGTAAATGTATGTTTGGTTATATAGGAGGCTCCAGTTGATTTATGTATGGTTATATAGGAGGCTCCGGTTAATTTATGTATGGTCAAATTTTAGGCTCCAGTTAATTTATGTATGGTTATATAGGAGGCTCCAGATAATTTATGTATTGTTATATAGGAGGCTCTGGTTAATTTATGTATGGTTATATATGAGGCTCCAGTTAATTTATGTATGGTTATATATGAGGCTCTGGTTAATTTATGTTTGGTTTATAGGAGGCTCCAGTTGATTTATATATGGTAATATATGAGGCTCTGGTTAATTTATGTATGGTCATATTTCAGGCTCCAGTTAATTTATGTATGGTTATATATGAGGCTCCGTTTAATTTATGTATGGTTATATATGAGGCTCTGGTTAATTTATGTATGGTTTATAGGAGGCTCCAGTTAATTTATATAAGGTTATATATGAGGCTCTGGTTAATTTATGTATGGTCATATTTAAGGCTCCAGTTAATTTATGTATGGTTATATAGGAGGCTCCAGATAATTTATGTATTATTATATAGGAGGTTCTGGTTAATTTATGTATGGTTATATAAAATATTATGAGGCTCTGGTTAATTTATGTATGGTTATATATGAGACTCCGATTAATTTGTGTATGGTTTATAGGAGGCTCCAGTTAATTTATGTATGGTCATATTTCAGGCTCCAGTTAATTTATGTATGGTTATATAGGAGGCTCCAGTTAATTTATGTATGGTTATATATGAGGCTCTGGTTAATTTATGTATTGTTATATAGGAGGCTCTGGTTAATTTATGTATTGTTATGTAGGAGGCTCTGGTTAATTTATGTATTGTTATGTAGGAGGCTCTGGTTAATTTATGTATCGTTATATAAGAACCTCCGGTTAATTTATGTATGGTTATATATGAGGTTCCAGTTAATTTATGTATTGTAATATATGGTAGGAGGCTCAGGTTTATTAAATTACAGTTTTACTCTGCTAGCTTGCCTAACTGTACTATAATAATTGATAATTGGTCATGTTGTACCTATTGAGAAATACAATAAGACAGTTTGAATAATGAATGATATTCCCGGCAATTGTTCTAACTCAGTTAATAATGCTGTGTCCAATAATATCAAACTGTTGATACAGTTTTATTGGGTTCCTCAATATCATTATACTTTGTGGGTAGATTGCGTACTGATGAAAGACAGATTCATTTTGGAAATCAAACTTTAATACATAAGGAAAAGGACAAAATGTGGATTTACTTGTTGTTTTTAGAAGGAAACTAGTGTATTCTACTTTACTTTGGAAACTTTTATGATAATTGTAATAACAGAGATAGATTTTAAAAGAATCCTCTTCAATTAGATGAATAAAGGGCTAACATTTTTTATTCGGTTTAAGAGACACATAAGAAATCGGCATTTTAAGTTTAGATTCATGTCTATAACAGTCATGTTCATGATAGTATATGAATATCATTATTAAACAACTGAATTTTATGACTTTAAATAAGGAAGGAAAAGTTTTGTTGTTTATATCTTTTTTATTCAAAAATCTTCAGGGACACAAATTGTGTGAAAATTAGAGAATTATATCAAACAAATTTGCAATTTGTAAACGTATTAAGTTCAATCCAAACTTTTTTTCGAAAAAAATGCTGAAAAGGTTATTTGAAAAATATCTAATTTCTGTTTTGAAAATATTTGATGCTTTGTTTTTTTGCATGGCTATACTGCTGTGATTTCAAAATTGAAACTCTTAATTTCTGTAATAAAATACATAATTTGATTAATCTCAATATTTAATACATGTATATACAGGAGAATTACTGTTTGACAAAAGAAATACATGTATTTCACAAGTTTTAAAGGGGAGCATTTAGGAAGAAATGTTATACCTATTCATGCAGAAACATTTGCTTTGATTGTTTAATCTGATTTAAAATTGGGGAAAAATAAGAATTGGGTATAATATTACAGATTTGTGAAAAATAAGATAAAATGTAATATTGTGTCAAATTGTGAAGAAAGGAATAGTAATCAATAAGTCAAAATTCTTGGGTTTTGCTGTGAAATTTAAAAGTTTTCAGATATTTTTATGTTTTGTGTGCTATATAATACTGCTACTTTGGAGGGTTTTTTTTTATCAAACAAGAATTAATTTTGTTTAATGTAAATAAATCACAAGGAGTAAAGGATATATTGGATTTTACAATTCTCATTTGTATTTATCTAGAGTAAATGAGAAACAATTGAAAGAAATGAATCTAGTAACAAAGATATTTGTTAAACATTAATCAAATGCTGTAAATGTAACACAACAATTGGTATGATCTGAGGTAGTATACCCATTTATTGTGTTACATTTATATTATAATGATCATTATAAATTAATCTGTTCTTTAGCTAAAACGAAACATTATAAGAAAAATTGTGATAAAAGAAACTGAAACACACAACAATTATTGGAACTATTTCAAAATTTAAAGTTAAAACTTTTGATATAAAATTATGTGGAAAGGGGCCAGAGGAAATCAAGTATCCCCCGATCCCTGGGGTGATGATCCAGTTGAAGTTGAGGAAGTGCCCATGGAACCCCCGTCATATAATGACTGGGACCAACCAAAACAATCGTACAATAAACCAGTACAGCAGAAAAAACAGGAATCAAAAATAAAAAATGAATCAAAGTCCAATGGTGAAATTAAAATGGAAAATATTCCTGAAAAGAAAGTTGAATCAGAATTCGTTTATCGAAGTAAAGAAAAAAAGCAAGTTGAAAACATGGAGGAAGTTGATACATATATAAACAAAAGATTCAACAACAGTCATGCTTGGACACCATATCTCTGTGAGAGAAAAAGGTAATAAAAAACATTAAATGAATGGTATACATGTATATATTTATCATATGATAGAAATACATGTAATATTATATGAGATTGGATCAATTATGCTTATCTTTAACAAATGAAAATATGTTGAAGACTGTATCCTTACTAAAACTGTGTCAAACTTGTAATAATCAAACTCTGTCAAACATTTATAATAGAACTTAGTTTTAACTTAGGTGCTTGCTTATTGTCACATTTCTTTTTATTGAACGGACATAGTCAGACTTAGTCATTTATCTTCAAGGGCAGATCCACAGAGGCAGTAGGGGGGTTGTGCATAAATGTGCCCAAAAAGCAATGTGTTAGTCAAAATTTCTCTTTATTAAAATCATTGTGTTACAGTGTTGTTGGGGACAATGGACATATGAAAAAAAGTGAAAAATAATATTTTTTGAAATTTACTAACCATGGCATTGCATGTGTAATGTACTAGACTGACTTTTTACATTTCTGAAGGTGCTTTAATTCTAAGACTACTGATTGCTGTTATAAGATATAAGCAGTTTGGTAGCATACAGAATTACCATGCTCTTTAATTGATGTTCAAAACAATTATATTTTCTTAATGTGGGTTACATACATATTATTATACTTAATGTTTGGTACATATTATTAAATACTGGGTCAAGATTATCAATACGGATAATATGTTATTAAAATCAGTTTATGCACATTCATTGGCGCAGTATTATAATGGTAGAAGGAATTGGGTTTTCCATGTTAAAAAACTGCTCTATGATTATGTATTTAGCTCTGTTTTTGTAAATCATGAAAACAAATTCCAAATTATTTGTAAATCTGTTCAAGAAAACAGTAACAGATTGTGCCTTACAGAAACTATTTGAAGATATTGAGAAAAATGAAATACTGAAATCCTTGTACATACATTTAAAACCGAGCTTTGGTATATCGGATTACTTGATTAAAATTAATTCATTTAAAATACGTAATAGCACAATTAGATTGCGCGTGTGGTCGCATAATTTGTTTATAGATTCTCTTAGACATGGGCGTAATCGAAAACCAAGAAATGAAAGATTATGTTATTTCTGCGGTTACAATGACAAAGATGATGAATTTCATTTTATAATCACATGCAAAAAATATTCTGACCCAAGAAACAAATTCATACCAAAATATTGTGTGAAAAATCCGAGCATGTACAAATTTATTAATTTATTGAGTTCTAAAAAGAAAAAAGTCTTGTTAAATTTGGGAAATTTTATAGCACAAGCATTTAAACGCAGGGCATTAAATCAACCGAATCTTCAGACATAATTATAAAAATGTTATCTTGTTAGTAATATTACTTTATTTCTTTTCATTCTCCATGTTCCAAAGATGTAGTTGTATCATTGTATGACACTTTGCTACAAATAATGTTAACTTTGATGATTACGTGATGTTTAATTATATTTGAATGTATGTATTTTGTGACCATGTGCATTTTGTACACGTCTTATATGAATAAACTATCTATCTATCTTAATGATTACAGCTTCTATAAATGGGGAAATATCTGTAGAATCAAATAAGACAATGATACTTGGAACAAATGACATAGGCAATTTACCATAAGTATTTAAAGTTAACAATATACATGAACACTTTTAGCTTACAAAAGTTACTAAAGTTCTGTTGCATGAACTTTGATTTTGTTTTAGTGCTAGCTCTTATAATGTCCTGCCATTGTCATTAGTAAAAAGTGCACTTAAATGAGCAGTGTTCATTAGGTAATACTGTCTAGACCGATTCCCTGTGAGTACTACTCCAAATAAAACAAGTAAAATGGTTTCCTGCGGTGAACATTTTAATGATATAAAGATATTTCATTTAACTATTTTCAACATTATTTTGGGGGGGGGGGGGAATAAACGTTTGTATCAGGAATATAGTTGACAATTGAATAAACGATCAATAAAGAAGGTCTTTGGAAACTGGTGACCGTTGAAGACTGGAGAAGGTCGAACCTAAAGCAATTATTTCTTTTTAAGAAAATGATTAAATAAGTCTACCATTTTATGAATAATTCCGAGCAAAAAATAAATAAAGTAAACACACAAGTTAATGCAGAAAATATCTCTATTTATTATGGCAGATGCCACTACTGATGTTTTAATTTTGTAGATTTTCAGTATAAACAATTTATTGTCATAGATATTAAAGAAACATTGATAATTTTCAAACACATCATTCAAGTTTTTCCACCTCAAACGGTAAAATAATTATAGAAAATTAGAAATATCACGTAATAGTTTTTTGTTCTTAATTAGATATAATTCAGACTAATTCCCTACAGGTAAATCCGTAACGTACCGGCAAACGGTATTTAGCTAGGTTTTCGAAAAGGTCAATTAACCAATTATGTACGGTTTACAGATCACATGCTCCTCCATGTACCGAAAACAGGTCACGTGCTCCTCCATGCCTCAAAAGTTAAACGCATACCAATTACCTGCGGTCTCCAGACCGCAGGGAATTACTTACATGTTCTTATGATAAAATTTTAAAAAGCAGAGGCTCAATGTAACAGTGCTATAACCTTGCAATTGTCAAAGTTTTATTTGTTGGAATGGTGTGAATTCTGTATTCTGTCACACATTTTGGCTTTAAAAAATATAAATTACTAACTGTTACAGTCGTCTAGAAATTGAGTTGCACACTTGGGTTTCATTAAATTTAAGCCTCTTAACATTTAATTAGACAGTTCTAAATTAAAAGTAGAACGTCTTAAAGCATTTTAACATTTACAGACATTGTGTTTGCATGTAAATTCATTTCGAGGTTCATGATTTCATCTAATAGTTACACTTAATGACTATTTTTTTAAAAAATAGATTTTTTAATCATCATAATTTTATAGTTATAGGTAATTTCATTTGATTTTAATAAATTGTAGGTTTAGTCACTTTTTTTACCTGTTTTTATCTTTTAAAATCAAAACAAATTTTTGATTTTCATAAATTAGCATGAACTATCTAAGCATGCAGGTTTCAATAAGATTCAGGTGGTTTCTGAAAAACTGTGACCATTGACTACAAATCAATGCCAGAGTTTAAGAACTATAGTCTATAGAAAGAGTCCTATTAAAAGAATTGTTTAAGTTGCAGAATAAAAGATTGATCGTGCAAGTATGAAAAGCTTGTTTAATGGTAATTTGAGAGTAAAATCTCTACTCCAGTATTGATTGGCTATTACACCTTCAACAGACTATTTGTTCTTATTAATATAAATCAAATAATTCCAAGAAGAAAACAACTTAACAACGGATAGAATTTCAATCTTTATCATAAAATATTCAGTTTTTCTTTTCGCTGTTAAAGTTTTGTTTTATAGATTACTGTGAATTCACTTATTTTCTTGGGCATGAAATTTCAAGGTTTTGTCAAAATGGACAGATTTTTTGTGATTTTTAATTTGGGTTTTCTGTTGTTGTTTTTTTACAAAATAATGCAAAAAATCTTAAATGTGTGTATTGACCTATTCACCAAAAGCAAAAAATTGGTGCCCCACAAATAATAATGATTTTACAATAAATTTACGTGTACATCTAAATTGATGTTATTGTTTACTTGTAATAATAATAATCATAGTAAAAATTAATCTTTAACTAATGAATTTGTAAAGTGGACCCTATACCTGTAATCATGCTTTGAATTTTCAACCATTTCTTCTCACTTACCGTAATGAGATAGTTTAATAGTGACAGAATCAGAAGCTATACATTTTAAAGTGATATTATGCATGTCCATCCAAGTGTATAAAGTGAGTGAAAAGGTGAATGTCAAAATAAGTTTACAGTTTGCCATAATTCCTTTCAGTTTTATAATTTACTTTACATGAACGATAAACAACTGACATGGTCCAAGGAAATTTCTGTAAATATCTATCAGAACTAAAAAATACCAGTATCATTCAAGATATAAAAAGAGTGGGGCAGTCTTTTTATCATCATCAGCTTTAGACATATTTGATCCTTAATATTTTCCGATGACAACTGATAGTCAATCACCATTATTAGTCAATCTTTGAAACATATATAGTCAATTCAATGAAAAAATGAGCATAATGTCACAGTAAGTTGGATCAGAAATGCCAGCTAGCTAATGGATGTTATAATATTTGTGACGTCAGTGACAAGATATAAATCATTAGAAAAGAAGAAATTATTTCCTCTAAATGATAGTGATATCAAGGCCAGAGAAAAACCAAAACCAGTAGATTATTACATAAAGTTAAAATCTCAAACTCATTCCAGTGTTATATATATTTGTTTTCTTTGTTAACCATTTATTATTGTCCTGTAATTTTTGTGCAACAATAAAATGTGTTTACTTTTATTTGAGCAGTTAATTGTTACCATTTGTACAAGTATTAAATACACCTAGCAGCTTTGTTTGATTCTATTTATCAAGAGTATGGATTTCATATTGACCTTACATAATTCAGTAAATTACATGATTCCATAATACATTCTTTTAATAGTCAATTACATAAATCATATAGCAAGTGAATGGTTGTCATAAAAATCAATTGAATACAAAACACAGGTAATTTGTTTAGGATATTTCTATTGTTTTATAATGAATGTTTAATGTATGCTGTATTAAGGGATTATACAATGAATCTGAAATGTTATTGAAATATTACCAGAACATTTTGAATTGCCTTAAGTGAATGAAGACCCTGCAATACTTTCTCCTGTTCAAAACATTGTAATAGTGAATTAAATCTTATTAGACCTTCTGTATGCTCTCTTTACAGCTTCCACACATATCACTTGTACAGAATACTCACTCTTGTTTTTTATTTATAGCTGGACTTTTCAAACAACATTGGGAAGAATTCTTGGGCTATCCTATCAATGTAACACTTTGGTCAAAGTTTTGCCTGCAACTTTTTGTACTGCCTCATAGGGAATCACTATCCCGTCCTTCAAATAATTGCATGGATTTTGACAGAATTATGGCTTTTGTGAAGACCCCTCTATTTGCATTTTCAAATGTATATTCTGTCAATTCCTTGTTCTCAGTTTAATTTCAGGTAAATCAAAACACAAATATAATAGTGAAACTTTCAAATTGTCATTTAATAATAAATGATTGAAATGCATAATAAAGTAACTTAAATTACTACTATGACATCATTCTTTTGTTCTGTCCAGATACTGTGTTGTATTTTTGATACTGTACAGGTAGGCATCCAATATTAATGTGTAAGTCCATTATAAATCATGTAACACATTTATATTAAACAGTGTAGATTAGCTTGTATATGACCACAGGACTGTGGAATTTTACCCAAACAAAATCTTATATCAGATGTAGATACTAGGAATGCAATGCCTTCCCCAACCCATTTCGCATGTTACAGAATTTTACGAATGGAACAATAATCATTTGTCTACACAATACAGAAATTCATGTACATTAAGCTGACATCCATACCTGATTTGCATCTATGTAATGTGTCATTTAGTTCAACTTTTCAAGTACAGGTAATAAACTTTTCAAGTACAGGTAATAGAGGTAATAAATTAATCTATTCAATACAAAAAGGATTATATTTGATAACATTATATGAAATACTTATAATATTATATAGAAACAGACTTCTGTGGTATGACAAACATCAAATTAAAAATATGAAAATATCATTTTGTTGCTATCTTTTTAAATTCACATATACAAAATATTATTTTAATATTAAATAGTCAGTATAAATCATCCTTAAATCCCCCTCTTGTCTTGGTCAATCATTCAAAATATCAGAAATTTATCACAAATTTGGAAACTTTTTTCTACTCAATTTGGAAAGTTACGGACATCTTATCAATCAAGAGGCTTAGCCCTATGGGGAATTTGCCTGTAAAAAACAATTGCTTAAACATTAAAATTGTACATTTCTAGCACAAGAATACATTATTTGAAATTCTTTGATAAATTACATGATATTTGATAATTAAAGTAAAACATAAGCCTCAAACAGTCCAATAAGTAAAATATTGAATTCCCTTTGGCACTACATGCCTCATGATATTCAATATTTTATATGTTCGACAGTTTTCGGCTAAATACTACTAATTAAAAAATGTACAACAAAGTTACATATGAAATACAATTACTAAAGAAAGAAACCCACCAACTGACACCTACAAGCTACCCCCAGCCCACTAAAAAATTAAAAACTAAATTTTTTCAAAAACTGCAAAAAAAAGTTGTGGTTGTTTTTGGAGAAATTTTATTAGAGTAAAGTATGAACTACAAGTTTTTATTTGGTAATTTTTTTCCATTTCAGGGAACTGCTGATGGCAGGACCAGTGAAGCCAAGCAAAGGTCTCAGACACAGAGTTAAAAATGTAGGTCATATACGAATATATTGAATTATACCATAAAATTCCTATTAAATGCCTCCGGGGGCTAAACATTTTCCATTTATTAAAACACATTTTTCCTAAATCCAAAAATCATTGTAAATACATTTGGTGTAAAACTAGTTAACGTAATAATGTAAAAAAAGTATTAAAAGTTTTACAGTTTATAATTTTGATTTTTATGTTAAAATTCTATCCAGCTAGCTTACAGAAGGTTGGTGATGGAAATAATGTACTGAGGGGTACTACTGGAAATTCTTACTCCACCTGAAAATCTGTAACCATTATGATCTTAATAGATAAACAATGTGACATAAAACTCATGCAATTCATCTTACAATAGCCAACACAATTCAAGCATGAAAATGATATTTGTTTCTGATGGACATTTTCAAAATAAAACTTTACATGCCTGCAAGAAATGTGATAATGACTAATGTTCAGCAATTATAATTATGAACAGTACATTATCCATTAAGCGACATAATACATGTATATTGTTTCTGTTGTTTCTTTTAGAGATGGAACAGCTTTAAGATAAGCTGGAACGAGTTTTTGTACAGCTTTGAGGTCTGGAGAAATGCTATCAAAAAAATTGAAGGTATCAAAACAATTATACTGATAGAATATCATTGTTTTATCCTGCATTGCCTATTGAATTTTAATTATGTTCACTTTGCTACAATTACAAAAGTTTCAGTGCTTGCTAGCTGGGATGTTAAATTATTAATTTATCTGATATTTATGCCCATTGATAGATTGGTAGGAAATATTGTTTTCAGTGTGTCTGTTTGTCTCAAATCCTGATCATAATTACTTAAGTTTGACTGGTTTTAAATGGATTTACAGAATTGTTGATTTGAAAGAAGTGACTTAATTATGTACATAAAGACAAGGCTAAAATACTGGCTGGTTAATGTTTTGTACTCTAATACCATGTAAAAAGCCATATATTATTATCATAGTTATAAAGATTTCCGACAGGTTGTATGGCCCTATATAAACAGTTGTTTGCATACATATCCTGAGCCACTAGGCAAGGCTTATATTGTAAACAACCGTATAACCTTTCAGGATTTTTTTTATAACAAATTTATAATACAGGAAGCTTTATTTTTGAGAGAAAGGGGCGTCCGTGGCCGAGTGGTTAAGGTCGTTGACTTCAAACCACTTGCCCCTCACTGCTTTGGGTCGGAATCCCGACCGGGGCATTGGATTCTTTCATGTGAGGAAGCTATCCAGGTAGCTTACGGAACGTCAGTGGTTCTACTCATGTGCCCGATCATGCCTGAAATAATGCACCGAAGGGCACCTGAGGTCTTCCTCCACCAGTAAAGCTGGAACGTCACTATATTATGACCTATACTGTGCCGGTGTGACATAAAACCCAAACAAACAAACAAACAAACAAATTTTTTAGAGACAAAAAAAATTGAGATTTCTAATTCATTAATTGACAGCAGCCTTGTATAAAAACTACATAAACATCACAAATTTCCGTGATGTTGCAAACGTGCAGTATTATAAAAAGCATATAAAACTAAAATAAAGTATGATTTAGTTTAACTCTCATTTTGTTTCAGGTCATCAAGGTGCCGGTGTTGCGTCATATTTCGTATTCTTACGCTGGCTTTTCATTTTGAACATCTTCATATTTCTGCTTATCTTTTGGGTGATCACATTCTTTCAAGTGACGTTTGATCCTGAGACAACATATGATACAGACCTGACAGGAACTGGATCTTCAGCCTTTACAACAACTGTAGCCGAGACATGTACGACCCAGTACAACCCAAATGTCACCTCTGATGCTTTGAGCCTTATATTGGGATTTTTTCAAGGAACAGTAAGTTTAGGGTCACATTAGTATATTGGCATTCAGACTGAAATTATCATCTAAACTTCATGTGAGGAAGCTATCCAGCTAGCTTATGGAACGTCGGTGGTTCTACTCAGGTGCCCTTTTGTGCCTGAAATAATGCCCAGAAGGGCACCTGAGGTCTTCCTCCATTAGTAAAGCTGAAACATCGCCATACTGTGTCAGTGTGACGAAAAACCCAATCAAACAAACAAATCATCTAAACATGTATATAATTATCAATCAAATGAATTTTTTTTTTTAAAGTTATATTGAACTATTGTTCCTTTGTTTTAATTTGATTTTGTTATGATGTCCAAAAAAAAAGAACATTTGAAATAAATTGCTTTTCTTAAATGTGATTTATTTTATATATTTTGGGTTTTTTTAACATAATTTTGTTTGTTAGTACCAAACTGTTGGAGTAATTTTAATTAAAATTTCATTATTGTTACAATCATGTAGTATCATATTTGTTAAAGTATCTCGTAAAGCTTTTAAAATTTCATCACCGGAAAGAATATATGAGCCGCGTCATGACAACTAATATAATGGGTTTGCGACCAGCATGGATCCAGACCAGCCTGTGGATCCGTGCAGTCTGATCAGGATCCATGCTGTTCGCTAACCAACTCTATTACAAGTAGAGAAACTGATAGCGAACAGCATGGATCCTGATCAGACTGCAGGGATGCGCAGGTTGGTCTTGATCCATGCTGGTCACAAACGCACTATGTTGGTTTTGTCATGACGCGGCTCATATCATCTTCATTTTATTTTTGCAAAAGCAAAGAGCATCATCTTTTCATATCATTTTGTGATAAATATCCACTAAGTACATTCTTGTGTGTATTATTTTAGGGTTGGATGGAAGAGACAGCCATGTTTAATGGTTACTATGTAGACAGGAAAGTGAAGCTGGCAGCGTCAAATTACAACCTTCCATTAGCATACTTCCTTGTTACTGTTGCTGTCATGCTTATCAGTCTCATCGTAATGGTTCGCAAGTAAGATCTTTACCTTGTCCTCTACAGTGTTGATCAATATCTAAACTTCATAAACCTTTAATTTGACCCGGTATAACTTTAATATACTACTGGTCAAGTTACTGTATTTCTAAATGTTCTTCCGGAAATATTGACCTTTAAACGACCAGTTTGGTTTAAGTCAATATTTGTTGTCATGGCTAATTAGTTATTAATTGATTTATGATATTAAAAATTGGCAATATAGTTCAGGAAGGACACAGATTTATATTCTCATGTCCAGTTTATAGATTCTGTACTATTTCTAATCAGACTTAAAGACTCACCAGTGCATATCATTTGTACATAATCACTGATTGAAAGACAAATTGAAAAAATGTCAGTCATGAATTGTCTTTAGGTTATTGGTTCATACATGCTTTGCTGTTGTTTCCAAGTCATGACCAACAAGTACGTAAAGAAATTGATTGTTGCTATTTTGAAAACTTTATTAAATATTTGAATTGTTTTGCACTATGCCTTTTGTACAGGTTTAGATATTAATCAGAATATAACAGAGATGTGGATATTTACCATGTACACACTCAATGAAATTATCAGATAAAGTAAATAGCTTTTAAAAGCAGTAGGTCTGATTTGAACAATGTCGGATATTAACACTTCCAGGCATTGCAATTACTTCCAAACATTGTATTTTGAAGCAAAAAATAGTATTTTTTCTTTTATCTTAATGTGACACTGTCCATCCAAAGACTGCCAAAACATTGGAATGTGGGTGGCATCCATGTTCTTTGGTCTCATTTCTAGATACCGTCTGCTCTATATTTACCAATTCTTTGAGTTTTTTTTTAGGAAAGTTTGTTTAATAGTTAACCACATTGTTATAATATTATGGCAGCATTAGTTCAAAGAATGCATGAAGATCTTTTTTTCAGCCTTCATTACTATTGCTGATAATGCCTTGGAAAGTTTTTCATGAATTTTTAAATTGGTATTTTATAAATGGACTTAATGTATATAATGCATGGCACAGCTGTGTCAGCTTAAGATCAAGGTCACACTTGAAGGTCAAATGTTTTAATGTCTGCCTCATATTACATTTGAGCCACGTCACAACAAAACCAACATAGTGCGTTTGCGACCAGCATGGATCCAGACCAGCCTGCGCATCTGCGCAGTCTGATCAGGATCCATGCTGACTTCGCTATCAGTTTCTCTACTAGTAATAGAGTTGGTAAGCGAACAGCATGGATCCTGGTCAGACTGCGCAGTTGCGCAGGCTGGTCTGGATCTATGCTGGTCGCACTATGTTGGATTTGTCGTGACGCGGCTCATTTATCTTTTGAATGAATTTTATGACAATTGGGTCAAATGACAAATGCAGTGAGACTGTGTGTATGTTAATATCTTTGAGAATGTACAAGCTAATAAGGTCAGTATGATACTGTAACAGGGGACAGAGCTGTCCTTTGATCTATCTTGTCAGTATCAAAAAGCATAGAAATGTGTCAATTGTTTTGGTAGTGGTAGTAATAAATTATTGGCAACATTTTTATATTATAATTATACTGGCTGTTAGTGAACCCACAATAAAAGGTAATAAAATAATCAATATTATGATCAAATAATGGAAATATTAAAAAATCATAAAGTTACATTGCATACTTCATTTCTGATTATATAAAGAATTTTAAAATTAATATGTTTTTAATTACATGTATAAAATATTCAAAGGAGTTTATGCAAGTTTGAAGTTAGCTTTATTAATAAATTATGTGTGAATTGTATTAAGTTTCGACAGCAGCAGTATACAATTGACAATTCATTTACATGTTGTAATTACAAATTAATAGCTTTTCTTGGAATTAAATTGATTTGAATTAAAATGATTTTATAATCGTTGATAATAATTACTCATAATTTTACTAAGGTATGACTGTAAATTACACTTGCAATTTTCTGGTAACCAATAGACATAATGGCAGGTAAGTGGATAGAAGCTTTATGTAGAAACACCAGGTAGTGCTGCCTCTATACTATGTTTAATATTCATTGTTACCTTAGTGCAATAAATGGTTTACTCTTATTAAATTTAGGACTTAAACCATTACTGCACTAAGGTGACATAATACAAAAAAAAAAATTCTTGAAATGTAATTGGCTGAGAAACATAACATATTGGCTGAGAAACATTACATATATAGTCATATTTGTAAAGAGCAAAATTAATCAGATGACATTACAAGTACCCAGGTATATCTGAAGTTGGTAACGTAATCGTACTGATTGATCAGTAACTGATCTGTTCATGATTTTATTTATAAATCCTTGGGCAAATATGTATTTGAATAGTAGTTGTTAAGAATATTAACATATATTTACCATACTATTTTTATTGAAGTTAATAAGCTTTTTTGTCAATACCTTAAAATGTTATGGAATGATCTTTTTTTTTTTGGAAGTTTTTCTTTTATAGAGTAATTTATCACAGATTTCAAGTTCCTTTGTTTATTTGAACAAAAAAAAAATGTATATAACAAACCGAGTTTTTTGTATAAATCAAAAGTTTTATCATCCGAAATACTCCCTTCTGAATAAAAGATAATGCATAACTAATGACTTGGTGCTGTTTGAGGCATTGAGGCACACAATAAGAATTTTTTAAAAATTGCAAATATTTTGGATCATTTATTATTTCAGATTTTGTTTTTTAAAAGTCAATAAACATGAATTCACAGTATCTTGAAATAGTTAAAACATATGCCTGTCAGTACTTGAACGACTTCATTTATATTTTTTCCTCAGTCAGGCTCCATGTTCATATGTTTTTGCAAGATCAGTAGATGATGTTATAACTCAATATATTACACACTAGTCTTGTACATGTATTTAATAATACAGGTTTTCACAATCAGATCATAAAATTTAGATTTAACTATCAAGGTGGGTAACCATGTGTTTATGGTAACATTGTGTTGTTGTTTATGGCTGCGTCCATGACTTTCATGATAATTGTTGATTTGTATCATATCATACAATATTTGAATAAGTTACATATCCCATAATCCAGGTGAATATTTGCTGATTCCAATGGTACTGTAGCTCTTGTACTTTTCCTGATATTTTTATAGGAAATTGTGACTCAATATTACCACATATTTTCATCAAAATCTTGCTGCGTAGAAATATTCCTTGTATGGGAAAAGTGAAAGAGCTTGTTTTATTAGAATTGGCAAAAATTTTCCTGGAACATGATAATTATGTGTTTTTGATTCAAATATTGAAAGGTATAACAAAAAAATATACAAAAAGCATTTTAAGTCCTGGGCATGGCCATAAGCTGTGACCTTATGTTGCCATAAACAAATGTCATCTATTACCCTGACTATAATGTTAGATATTTTCACAAATGTTTGATTTAGTTTATAAAATCTACACACATTATCTGAATGGAAGAAATATGCATGATCTGTGGGTAATTATTGTATTTTATTATGGGAGGTTTGTGTTTTTGAGCCAGTTTTTAAATGATCACTATGATATAATATGTTTTCTCATCACAGAAAAATAACAGATTAAATTTGCTTAAGAAAGTTGCAGTTTATATATTATCTCTTACTGCTGTTGCGGGTTAACTTCTATTATAATATAATAGGAGTTAACCCATTACTGCACTTAGGTGACAATTATATGATAAATAAAAATAAAATGATTTTACCTCCCAGTTATGATGTATTAAAGGATTTTACAGAACTCTTTTTTACCTTTATGTCCTTTTTATGTCTAAACCCTTATTTTGTGTAATAGATTTTGTCCTATTTGGAACTGTCAATTGTTTAATCTAGGGAGGATATAGACCAGAGAACTGATGTCCTCAGTCTACACCTGTTATTCTTGCTACATTGAGATAATTAGAAAAAATGGCTGAAAAAATAGGCAATGATTGACATTTACTGTCATTTATAATGGGCTAGGGAACTGATAACAGTGTATCCTGATTGATTCTAATATTGACAATGTTGTAGCCTCATTTGTTCTCAATCAATGATTCCAGAACAATATGAAATATGTGTTTCTCTTACTCCTTCATATTTTATGATGTATTTAATAAAAAATGAAAAATTAAGTTTGCAAGTTAATTAGTTTTGTGATAGATTTTTGCACTGTAGATCACTTTCTTTGTTATGTCTCTGAACGCCATTAGATTTTTTCAATCTTTTAGATGACATTTTATTGAATGATTAAAGTGTTGACAGTCATACAAATTGTAGTACTATAAAATTTATAGACTTGTTTATTTCAATTGTGCAATATCATAGTATGTTACTCAGAGTTATGACTCTTCAATTCCTTTTCACTTATGTCATCAGTCACATTAAGGTAGATGCACATAACAATAATTCATGATTGCTGTACTTTTATGCTATAATTTTATTCAATAGTTTATGCTATACGCCCATTCTCAATAAAATAAAGCATTTGAGGTTGAAAAATATTAAAAATTTGATGTTGTCAATGTGTCATTTTTTATCGCTGAAGTAAAAGTTTGGGGTATTTTGCAAGTTTGCCAGAAATATTTTGAACAAGAAACTATGATATAACAGGATGGCATTTATTTCGGTAATGACACTGTATTTCTTCGGTAACGTAGATTTCAGATCTAATAATGTAACATACTGGCTGCATATGAATAACAAATGTCTGTAAAATATATCAAAATCTGTAAATTCTCTATCTAGAGGGACTTTCTAACCCAGGAAAATTCAAAGAAGTTGGGTACCTAGCTAATTTTCAGTCAATTTTTTCAAAGTTAAATATTCGTAGAAAGCAAAAATAGTCAATTTTGAAAATGATTATTTTATGTCTTCATTCAAAGGATATATATCATATATAATATATGAGAGGTCGAATGCATACACAAATTTTGTATTAGCATTTTTTTTCTCAAAATATTCAACTTTCCACTTTCTTAATATTTGGTAAATTTAGCACTAAACAGTTCGATATTTATCCCCATATAGGATGTCACGTATGTTTCATTTTATTCAAATGCAAGTAAAGGTTGAGAAAACAATTTTATTTTTTGTAAAATAACTTATATTTATGGATATTATTTTAACATTATTATATATAGAATGAAATACGGCCAGTAAGCTCTTTGCAGAAACGAATTAGTTGTTGCTGAGAACATCAATATCTTGTAATATATTTTAACATTTTTTCTGGTACATCAACATATTATTAGCATATCTTTCCTTTGTAAAAGAATTTTTGTTTCTTCTTACTTCTAATACAAGGTAACCGTTACTAACAGGCATGTTAATCCCAACTTTAGCTTTAATTTTCAAAAATTGTTGAATTGTAAGTTGGAGTAACGTATGTTTCACACTCGCTTATTTATGAACTTTATTACGGAATTTAAACTTACATGTAAAATCGACTTTTTTATTTAGGAATCAAATGCACATCATTCTATTGTCATAAAAATGCGATTTTATGTTTTTATATATGCATGTGTAAACAATATAAAGTCTGTTTGATAAAAGTAACGTTTGTTTCACTGTGGTTACTTAAACAAGTAAAAACACGACCAAAGTTAACAAAATTTACTTACTAATGTCAAATAGAACTTAATGTTGATGTTATACGTGCTTTCTGACTTCAATTTCCCTTTTGATAAACTTACTTTAAAAAGTTGATAACGTATGTTTCTGTAACGTATGTTTCATTTTTACATTGAAAGTGGGTTAAAAATGACGCAAGACCGTTTAAGCCGCCATAATTTGTGGTTAATATATCAGAGTTACACACATGTTAATTTACTTTCTTGTTTGGATTCTTCTTTGAATGGATTGGCTCTTAAATAATGGTAACGTATGTTTCTTTTTAAAGTGCTGTTGAAAAGATATGAATAAAAAATGAAAATTTCCGAAAATAGAATGAAATTTGAGAGGCTGCAAGCTTATTTTTACTTATAATTATATATATGCTGTATTATTAAGCATGCATCGATTCAATTATGTAATTTGTGTTTCACTTCTTATTGTTTTAGGTTTGTCACTATTTATTTATATGCTTTTGGCGACATTTGATCATCCATTATACCAATGAGATTTAAACAGTCAAATATAATATTAACCAATAATCAAAGTGCATATACACACAGCAATGCCTAATTGCACATGTTTCGTTTATTCTGGAACTTATTTTTCTGAAACACAATTTCAAAGTTGAAAATTCTAGGTGGCGACAGTCACGTATGTTTCATTTTAGGGCATAAATGGTACTTGTAAAAGAAAAATAACAGATAGAAATGTAAAACTGAGAGTGTCCCTATTAGACAAAGTGGCAGCCACCTTTCTAACGACATTTTGACCTCAAGAAAAACCTTCGTATAAGAGCTACCCAGTGGAACATCAAATGCTGTGTTTTATTGAGAATGAGCGTATAGCTTTATGCTATAGTTTTTGTGCACTTTGGCTTTCTTTTGGCTATTTTAAACAATATTTTTATATAAAACTGTAGAATCACTACTTGCAGACATTGAATATTAGAACAGGTTCATGTCTGAAGATAATAGATTTTAGCTAACATTGCACTGTATAATTAGATTGTTCCATAAACATGTCTGTCTAATCAATAAATTCAGATAATAAATAAAAGTTTGAATAGGTTTCCATGGTGGAATCACCTTTTTATCTTCAGTTTATGACTTGTTACAATGAGATTAGTTTTAAAACTGATGCAGCAGCTCTTCAGAGAAATAATCTGTGAACCTCTATAAAGTTAAAAAATGATAGCAGAGGCGAAGATTAATGTCTTTCTGTGAGAGCAAGTTACAGGGTTGCATACTGTTTAAGTGGTTTAAGTTAGCAACATAGATATATTGGCAAATTAATTGAATTGACGAAAATTGCTAAAATTTGCTTTAGAATAAATATCAACCGACCTGTCATTAAATGCAACCCTTGCAGGATTTCCTAATATTTCCTCATGCAAAACGTCTGGAATTTTAAATATGCTAACTTTCCGACATATGGAAATATCCACTGGTACTGTAAAAGCTTAACAAAAAAAACACATAAAAGTCAGCATTTCTAATTCATTATATCATACTGTAATCTTTATTATATTCTGCATCAAATAATATATTTCAATTTTCAGTACCCTTTCAAACTTCAAGGAGACAGTGTTAGCCCAGGAAAATGCCAAACAAGCCACATATTGTAACGGTGTATTCGCTGGTTTTGATTATAGTGTTATTGAACTTGAAGCCGTGGAACTAAAACAAAGGAGCATTTATCGTGGACTTGTGGTAAGTTATATAAGTGATCTATGTTATGGTGTAACATTGGTAAGTTGTATGAATTATTTGTTATAATGTAGCATATGAAAAAATATATTATAGAGTATTGTGGATAAATGGTTACATGTGAAAAGTGTAATGTATTATTGATTTGTTGAAAGTTATGATTATAATTATGTATAATTTTATTTCACACCTTATATAACCAATTTTTTTCAGCATGTTCCAATAGAAATCATCATTGGATCCGTTCTAATCAATTTAGCCTTGTTTTCATTTCCATAGTCCAAAAAGTCCCTATATACCTCATGATGGCCTCATTTTCAAGTCCAAAATATATTTATCAAATGCATATCACACTCCTTCTAGCCTTTTCATGTAATGAGAGTCAATAAATTCATATCATATATCCTTATTATAATTGATTTAACAAAGTTCTGTCAAAATGTCAAACAATTATGGTGTGAAATAAGAGGCTTGCACCTTGTCCAATATTGTTTGACAAATGTTGGCCAATAGAATTCAGTATTGGACTCAGCAATGTCTAATAACCTTACAATATTGTATAGTGGATATGTGTGATAAGTTATAAGCATGTATTTAAAGGGAGACACAGGCAAAATTTTCATTTCTTCGTTTTGAATTTTTCATTCATTATTCTGTAAATGTCCTCAAAATGAATACACTAGGCAGTCACAGAAACAAAACTTTTCTCCTTATAAAGAATAAAATGGTTGTTTCCTAACTTGACCCACGTGGGTCAGGTTAGAGCGTTCAAATTTCACAATAGTTGTCACAGTGAACTCTGGAAACGTTAAAGAACGTGTCAAATGAATTACTTAGACTTGCTTCAATAATATAATATCAACAATATCTGTTATTGCAACTTCCAGGGTTTGTTCAAGTCAAATGGCTTGTTTTAAAATTACTCGGTAATTCTGTCGGTGTCTAAATTTTGTTCAACAATTATGGATATATTTAAGCTTGAAACCCAAAATATATAGAATTTATACAGAATTTTATGCTGGGACTTTACAAAATGTCATTTTAGCGTGATTTGAGTACATAAGATCATTTTTATATTTTTGTCATTAATTTGCCTGAATATCCTTTTAATGCTGAAAGAGTTCATCCCATCAAAGGTTTTGCTTGATATTATGCTATAGTGTTTAATCCATGCTTATAAATTAAATGACCTGTAAGACTATAATGGTTTCTATTGTCTTAGTAAATTTACTATTGTTTACCAGGCTGATTTGGGAGAACAAAGATATGAAATAGAATGTCAAAATCGTACAACAGGACAGAAATGTAGGCTGTATACTGTACGAATTATTGTCAACTTTATCATAATACTGATGTTAGCAGGAGCTGGAGCAGCTATCTACTATGCCCAGGATTATTCTACAGAGGTAGGTTCTACGTTTTTGCATGCATTACTAACAATTGAGGGCCTTCTGATTATTTCATGTGAGAAAGCTATCCAGCTAACTTACGAAACATGGTTGTTTCTACTCAGGTGCCCTTTTGTGCCTGAAATAATGCACAGAGGGATACCTGAGCTGCACTGGAAAAGCTGGAATGACACCATGTGACCTATACTGTGTTGGTGCAACTTAAGTCTCAACCAAAAGATCACTTGTCAACAAGTTTTGTATTTTCTACAAGCACATCATTCTGTGCTGTCTACTTTTAAGTAGCTGGTTAACAACTGGCTACACAAGATGAGTTATTATCCCTTGGACATTAATTGAAAAGAGAGAACCTAAAATTAAACAAATTTATTGGTATTAATATTTAGTTTTAATTTTTCAGTTTACAACAGATCCGGATGTGGAGAACAAGTATCATTCTCTTGTGATACTGGTGGTACAGTTTTTACCATCTATTGTGATTGGACTGCTGAACGGAATTTACCCACTTATTTTTGACGTTCTTGTCATTTTTGAAAAGTACAGACCAGCCTTTGTTATCAAGATTTCATTAATCAGGTAAATATGCTTTTCTTGCATTGTTGATACGACATTAAAACAGCTGACCTTCTGAAATGGACTTTTCCAACCTCCATTATTGGAAATGTTATTATTAACAGTTTTAGGGATATGATGTTAGATGAAAATTAAAAGTTAATTGTCAATAGTGCCAGGTCAGAGTGCATGGATGTACAGGCTAGCCTCTCTCTTTATTGATGGCAAGTAATGGTCAAATAGGCTCTGGTAAAATTTGAATATGGTATCTTAAACTATACATGTATTTATGAAATGCCTGGGTACGATTTTGGAAAGTGTTTCCTTAGTACTGTCTTTCAGTGTATCTGTTTATAAAGGTTCATAAATCAACTTAAAAATGATATACATGCATGTATACAAAATAAATGATGAAGTTATCGCAACTTTGTTATTTATAAATGTGACAAGTTTGTCTATTATAAAATAAACCTAACATGCAAGAGCCAATTAATGTAATTTTTACATCAAGTCCATGTATAAAGTCTCTAATATAGTTATTTTTTTTTAAAGGATGGTATTTCTGAAGCTGGCCTCGCTTGCTATGGTGGTAGCAAGTTTATATGTACAAGTAACATGTAATGATCAAAATGCCTGTCTTATAGGACAAAATAGCTGTCCAGCTATTGAGGTAAGTAATTTGTAACTGAGATGGAAGAAAAAATTATTTCTTCTTTTCAAATTTTGGCCAAAATTGATGACTACTAATATTGAATGTATCATATTGTCTAATGACCAAATTTCTATGGATTCAAACCTCAAATTGTGATGATAATCACCATGATTTTTATTACGACACAGTAATGATAAAGTCCTGGAGAAAGTGTATAAAGCTTATAGCTGTCTTCACATTTAATCTAAAATAGATAATGTTTAATGCAATTTTTGTTGTCTCCCTTTATCAATGTCTTTATTCTGATATATAAATATTTCTACACATACCAGTATGTTTCATATAGTATGTGCCTTAACAAGCTAAAAGCTTGAATTTGCAACAGTAAAAGTTTAAGGGTTTTCAATATCAGAATATAGAAAAAATAACAACTAATTTGCATCTCTATAAACAAGCTTTAGAATTAATGAAAATGATATTATAAACATGTACTCACAAAAAAACTTGCTTTAAGAAAGGATATGAAAATGCTATGAAACATGTTGTGAATAACTAATGGTGAAGATATGATTTCAGTGTTGGGAGTCCTATGTTGGTCAGGCTGTGTACAAACTGGTAGTGATGGATTTCCTGATAAATGTTGGGGTTACCCTTGGCGTAGAGTTACCCAGGAAGTAAGTGGATAATGCTTCTAATCAACATTAAGTATATCAGGCACCTTAATGCTGTAATGGGATAACTCCTATTAAGTTAAAAAGGAGTTAAACCATTACTGTACTAAGATGATAATATTTTCTTTTATCTTGAAGAAGTTGATATTGTATTTTATCATCAGGTCTTTAAATAGTGTATGTAACCAACATTTTTAATTAGTTTAAATGTACTATAAATACATTCTCATAAGTTTTCCAGGGAAATAAGTTTACTTTAACTTATCAAATGTTATATGAAGTGTTATATCAATGAATTGGTTTATTTTACACACAACATGTGTACCTGTATGAGCTGTATCTGTTATAGTTTAACTGATTGCTTCATATTGATGTGAAACAATTCATTAACCATTTAATGTTGCTTATCAAATGTATATAGTGTATTACAGTTATATATTATATTTAAAATTATTGAAATGTAGGATAAAATGCTATATGAAATATTATGTTTAAAAATTGTAAATGTTAAAATTTTTCTTATGAGTATAACATTTGTTCCCTGCGGTCTGGAGACCGCAGGGTATTGGTACGCGTTTAACTTTTGAGGCATGGAGGAGCACGTGACCTGTTTTCGGTACATGGAGGAGCATGACTTTTGTGATCTGTAAACCGTACATGATTGGTTTATTGACCTTTTCGAAATCCTAGCTAAATACCGTTTGCCGGTACGTTACGGATTTACCTGTAGGGAATTAGTCCGAATTACCCCTAATTAAGAACAAAAAACTATTACGTGATATTTCTAATTTTCTATAATTATTTTACCGTTTAAGGTGGAAAAACTTGAATGATGTGCTTGAAAATTATCAATGTTTCTTTAATATCTATTTCAAATTTTACAAACAATAAATTGTTTATACTGAAAATCTACAAAATTCAAATATTCGTAGTGGCATCTGCCATAATAAATAGAGATATTTTCTGCGTAAATTTGTGTGTTTACTTTATTTATTTTTTGCTCAGAATTATTCATAAAATGGTAGGCCTATTTAATCATTATCTTAAAAAGAAATAATTGTTTTATGTTCGACCTTCTCCTGTCTTCAACGGTCACCAGTTTCCAAAGACCTAGCTTATTCTATATTGATCGTTTATTCCATTGTCAACTATATTCCTGATACAAACGTTATTTACCCCCCCCCCCCCCCCCAAATAATGTTGAAAATAGTTAAATGAAATATCTTATATATTTAAAATGTTCACCGCAGGAAACCATTTTACTTGTAAATGTATTTGTTATAAGACTTAAAGATATAAGATTAATATGTTCTGTAGCCACCATCTCAACTACCTCATCCAGCATGTAGCATTTAGAGAAATGGTCATATATGGTACATGTTGTTTAAGCTAGGTTTGAGTGTTACTATAGGAATATAGGAGATGATGTTTTATATACTCTGTCTTTTTCAATAGATTAATTACAACAAAATGTGAATGTGGGTTGTTCAAGAAAGTAGGTCCAGCTAACTTTGATATCCCAAAGAATGTTTTAGACCTTGTCAATACTCAAACACTTTTGTGGTAAGATTGTGTGTAATACTAATAATGTCACACCTGAAAAACTGGTGATGTCACATGTTTACCATTTGGTAGTGGTAAAAAGATCATGTAACTGACATGCTTAAAAATTAGTAATATCGCCACTTAAAGTTTCATCCACCAATTGTCATATCACTGCTAACAGTTTATGTTTTTGTAGAAGTATTTTTCCATCAGCTGCTGCTAATGAGTGCTTGTGATTAACATTAGTGTGTTTCTCTTTGTTGTTTTATAACAGATTAATTACAACTAAATGTGAATGTGGACTTCTACAGAAAGTTGGTCCTGCTATATTTGATATACCGAAAAATGTTCTGGATCTTGTATATGGCCAGACATTACTGTGGTAAGCTTTTGATAGTTTATATAGAAAGTAAAATGTTGGACAAAAAAATTACATAGATCTATACATCCAGTTTAACATCTGTATATTGCGTAATCAATTAAAATGGATTGCTAACTTCTCTGTTTTAAAGAAACAAGTTGATCTATTATTATCCTTGGTTGTGGTTGTTGCTTATCATGATGAGGTACATTTGTATTACAATCGGGGCGCTATTCTTAAAATTATATTTTTTTTATTTATGGCCCTTTTTCACCTGGAAAAATAAACTGTTGTATAAATTGTAATATCTTGAATATTCACAATGAAGGATTTAATCATCTGTAACTGAGAAATGAAGTGCATAAAACCATACTAATATAATACTTTTTGAACCTAATATTTTAGTTTTTGCCTTTAACAGACTGTGTTAGTTCCGAACGTTTTTTGTTTGTTTTTGTTTTAATTTTTTTTTTTCAATTTATTTTCTTCAATGTTTTTTAATATATAAGTTAATTGGAAATAATAAAGCTTAAGTCATTAAATATAATATCAGAAAAAATCAATATTGCATACCTTAGAGGGTTAAACATAAAATTACATTATATTTGAACAAGAAGTTTAGCAATATAAAAACCTTTTATTATCAAAAATGAAAGCTATATCTTGATATTATCACAATTTAAGTTCAAGTCTATACTATAAACCTGTTTTAAACAAAACAGATCTTCTTTTAATACTCATTTATAAAATATTTAATAAATATTTGTAAATATCTGTTCTCCTGAATAGATATATTTATTGTCATTACTTTTTTTCACAAAACTTGGGCACAATATGCCTAATAATGCCAACTTATTTAAGTTTTAAAAGGTTTTTGTTTTTGGTGTCCTGTTAAAGTTTCCAAACAGTTACTCATATTTTGTTTCTGTGATGTTTTGGTGATTAGTACAGTTATTAACTAAGTGATTTCATATTAAGTATGGAATCAAAATACCACTTTGTTTATATTTCACTACTATTATGACAAAATATTTCACATTGATTGCTATTTTATTCTGATGATAAGCAACTTGCATGTATTAAATCCATTATGTTAAGGTTATAAAAAAAAACATGTTTGCCAATTTTACAGAAGGAAAAAATATTCATATCTGAAGCATAATGTGCCATACAAGCATTAAATGTGTCTTGTAATGAAGTATGCTGGTGCTAATGTCATAATTTTGTAGTACTGGATATCAAACCATCTACAGTAATGGCTGATGTGGCTGGTGATTTTTAGCTCGACTTTTCTATGAAAAGGGGAGCTATCCTACTCGCCCCGGCGTCGGCGTCGGCGTCGGCGTTGGCGTCACACCTTGGTTAAGTTTTTCGTACCACCCCACTTTATTTCAGAAGTATTACAAGTATGGCTTTGAAACTTACCATACTTGTTCACCATCATAACCTCCATCTACAGACAAGAGTACATAACTCTGTCAAGGTTTTTGACAGAATTATGGCCCTTTTTTGACTTAGAAAGTGTATTGAGCTTGGTTAAGTTTTTTGTACCACCTCACTTTATTTCAAAAACATTGGAGGTATTGCTTTTGAAACTGACCATACTTGTTTACCATCACGACCTTCATCAACAGACAAGAGGACATAACTCTGTCAAGGTTTTTGACAGAATTATGCCCCTTTTTGACTTAGAAAATACATTGAATATGGGTAAAATCCACTTATTGCCTTAACCCTTTGAGATATTGCTTTGAAACTTTTAATGCTATTTCACATCATTACCCCCATCTGTACGCAAGAGAAGGTAACTCTGTCAGGGATTTGTTTTAAAAATTAAGGCCTTTTATCGACTTAGAATCTTGGTTAAGTTTTTTGTACCAGTCAACTTTTTGACTGAACTGGTTGAGATATTAAATTGAAAGTTGGAATACTTGTTTACCATCATGGTCCCAAACATGGGCAGGAGAAGGTAATTCTGTTAAGGATTTTATTTGAATTATGGCCCTTTTTAGCTCGACTATTCGATAAGAATAAGTAGAGCTATTGCAGTCACCCGAGCGTCGGCGTCGGCGTAACCACTTATGTTAAAGTTTTTGTAATAGTTCAAATATTTTCAAAGTCCATTGACATATGGCTTTGAAACTTTGCACACTTGTTCACCATCATGACCCCAACCTGTAGACAGGAGGAGGTAACTCTATCAAGCATTTTGACAGAATTATGCCCCTTTTTCGACTTAGAATTTACGTTAAAGTTTTTGTAATAGTTCAAATATTTTCAAAGTCCATTGACATATGGCTTTGAAACTTTGCACACTTGTTCACCATCATGACCCCAACCTGTAGACAGGAGGAGGTAACTCTATCAAGTATTTTGACAGAATTATGCCCCTTTTTCGACTTAGAATTTACGTTAAAGTTTTTGTAATAGTTTCAAATATTTTCAAAGTCCATTGACATATGGCTTTGAAACTTTGCACACTTGTTCACCATCATGACCCCAACCTGTAGACAGGAGGAGGTAACTCTATCAAGCATTTTTGACAGAATTATGCCCCTTTTTCGACTTAGAATTTCCGTTAAAGTTTTTGTAATAGTTCAAATATTTTCAAAGTCCATAGACATATGGCTTTGAAACTTTGCACACTTGTTCAACATCATGACCCCAACCTGTAGACAGCAGGAGGTAACTCTATTAAGCATTTTGACAGAATTATGCCCCTTTTTCGACTTAGAATTTACGTTAAAGTTTTTGTAATAGTTCAAATATTTTCAAAGTCCATTGACATATGGCTTTGAAACTTTGCACACTTGTTCAACATCATGACCCCAACCTGTAAACAGGAGGAGGTAACTCTATCAAGCATTTTGACAGAATTATGCCCCTTTTTCGACTTAGAATTTACGTTAAAGTTTTTGTAATAGTTCAAATATTTTCAAAGTCCATTGACATATGGCTTTGAAACTTTGCACACTTGTTCACCATCATGACCCCAACCTGTAAACAGGAGGAGGTAACTGTATCAGGCATTTTTTTTACTATCAAGCACTAAGAATAGTCGAGCATGCTGTCCTACCGACAGCTCTTGTTGACTTAGAAACTCAGTTAAAATTTTCATTCTTGTCCACTTGTTGACCTAACCATTTGAGATATTACTTTGGAAGTTGGAGTTCTTATGTGCCATCATGAGACCTATCTGTAAGCAAGAGAAGATAACTCTGTGAAAATGTTTCTTGATTTGTACTTAGAAATTCCTAGTTAAAGTCTTGTGTGCCCTTAACTGTCAAAGTTTTGTTTTATAGGCAAGCACTAAAAAAGTCGAGCGCGCTGTCCTTCTGACAGCTCTTGTGTATTTTATTATAAGATTACATTATAACATTACAGGCTGGGATTTTACTTTGCACCACTGTTGTCTGCTGTTTGTATTGTGACATTCTTCCTTGTCTTCTACCTTAAAATGGTAAGTTCAGTTATCTATGTAGACTTTAAAATGTTTTTATCATGCCACTGTTGATCAGTCAGTCTTAAACTAACATCTTTAAACTGATTAAGTACCCTTCAATAATGTTGATATATATATTGAAGCAACCCTTTTATGCAAAATTGTGCTTAACTGGAGTGCAGGAATTAGTTACCTGCACTCCAGAGCATACCCATTGATTGACTCATTTTTTCTGTGGTTTACTTATTTTGACGGCAAAGAAAGGCATAGCAATGGTAATATCATATTCAGATGCTCGTTCACTGGTAACTTTTTTCTGGGGTTTCATACTGTGACAACAGGGAACATGTCTTTATTTTTGCCTATGATACCAAAGAGAAAGAACATCAAAACACTGCAATCTGATTTATACTCGGGGCTACTCCCCCTCGTACAAATCTTTCTTTTACTTATTGAATCATTGTGAAATTTTATGTATGATTATCTAGTATATAAAAAGGAAAGGAGCACTTTTAAGGCATTGTCAATGTTATCACTACAACAACCAGACAATATACTGTAACCCAATTTATATTCGCGAATACAAATTTTCGCGTTTTGCCGAGGTCGGACATATTCGCGAATATTAATTTCCGCGTTTTCTTGATTTCCGAAAAAAAATATTCGCGGATTAGAAAGTCCGATGGGGCCATAAAATCCATTAGCCGACTATTAATCTTCAATAATTGAGGTCATTATTGCTGTCATAAATGGGATTAACAATACGCTAGCCTTATATTGTATTGGCAAGTGAATTGTGATCACAATTCAGCAACAAATTTATTTATATATGTACATGTACGCAATGTTCGTCTTCATTTCTAAACATGTCGTTAAAAGGGTGGTTGATAAAAAATAAACCCTCAGAATGCAGTGGTAACTGGACTATGGAACACAGTTTATCTAAAAAAAGTCTTTAAGAAATTCAATTTAAGAGTTTCATAAAAAAATACCTTCTCCAATCAGGGATCGAACCAACAACGAGAAAATTATGTTATATGAGTCCGCAATCTAACCAATTTAAACAACTGAGCTATACAGGCTGTTAAGTTTGTCGGGTAAAAATCGATACTAGTATGAAACTATTTTGTATTTCACTGTTTGTAATTATGTACACCCTATCCCTTTTGTGATGCTCAATAGGTTTATACCACCTTTGTCTTAACAATTCACTCAAACAATTATTTTATAGGATCCAGAAAACAATAGCCTTTTGTGATGCTCGATAGTTTTCCCACTTTTGTCATACGATTTATTCAAACATTTATTTTATAGGGTCCAAACAGGTCGAGGTCACTGGACTTGAGGACAAAAGGCAAATTATTTCTTTTGATATTTATAAAATAGTAGTAGTTTACTTAGTTTGTGTTTTTATTGCTTTATGGGAATATTCATAACAATTCATTACTTCCTAACAGGTGCCCATAAAATTCGAATACATCCGGTCAAGTAGCTTTGCATGAACAAAGTCTAAAATAAAAATTTCTCTCCAATTTATTCGCGAAATCGTGCGGACTTATTCGCGCAAACAAATATTCGCGCTTCGTGGCCATCCGCGAATAAAGCGAATATTAATTGGTCGTGAATATTCGTTGGGTTACAGTATTGTTATTGAAATGTTGTTGAAGGAGAAGTGTAGTACATCAATCTCAAACTCATACCATATATTTTATAGAAATAAATTTATTTAGACTTTTATTTTGACAAATTTGGATAATTATCACCCATTCATTTCTCATAAGGTAACTAAGAATGAAAAGAGATGTTTTTGTTATATTATTTCATACTTAGTAATAAACATTTAATGTAAGTCAATTTTTAATGCTTTGCCTCTAAAGTTTCATGAGTCCATGCAAACTTTATACCAAAACAAGCAAAGAAAAAAATTAGTAGACATTGTTCAAAATAAACTTGTTTAGAAATTCTCTTCTGATCTGGAAAAATACATACTTTTGGGCACTGTGAAGGCCTTCTTTCAGGTGGTTATTAGATTTTATTTGGTTTCATTGTAAGTTTTTACAACTATATAATAGACAGTCATCTAATATTTCAGTTGTCAGCAATGTATAATACAGTGCCTCCTGAGAAACCCTACCAGGCTTCAAAATCTAACTCCTTCTTTACTGTGATTCTGATGATAGCATTCTTCCTCATCTGTGTACCTGTTGGGTATACGTTATCCAAGTAAGTTGTTATTTGTACCTGTTGGGTATATGTTATCCAAGTAAGTTATTCTTTGTACCTGTCGGGTATACCTTATCCAAGTAAGTTGTTATTTGAACCTGTAGGGTATATGTTATCCAAGTAAGTTATTCTTTGTACCTGTCGGGTATACCTTATCCAAGTAAGTTGTTAATTGTACCTGTAGGGTATACCTTATCCAAGTAAGTTATTATTTGCACCTGTAGGGTATACCTTATACAAGTAAGTTGTTATTTGCACCTGTAGGGTATACCTTATCCAAGTAAGTTATTATTTGCACCTGTCTAGTCTATCTTAACCAAGTAAGTTGTTATTTGTACCTGTTGGGTATATCTTATCCAAGTAAGTTTGGATATATCATATCCAAGTAAGTTGTTATTTGTACCTGCTTGGTAAACCTTATCCAAGTAAGTTGTTATTTGTACTTGTTTGGGTATATCATATCAAAGTAAGTTGTTATTTGTACCAGCTGGGTAAACCTTATGCAAGTAAGTTGTTATTTGTACCTGTTGGGTATACCTTATCCAAGTAAGTTGTTATTTGTACCTGTTGGGTATACCTTATCCAAGTAAGTTGTTATTTGTACCTGTAGGGTATACCTTATCCAAGTAAGTTGTTATTTGTACCTGTTGGGTATACCTTATCCAAGTAAGTTGTTATTTGTACCTGTAGGGTATACCTTATCCAAGTAAGTTGTTATTTGTACCTGTAGGGTTTACCTTATTCAATTAAGTTGTTATTTGTACCTGTTGGTAATAAGTTATCATTGTGTGTTTATTTAACTTAATTGGTAACAAAATGAAACAACTAGGTATGAAAAAGTTAGTTTACTTAATGTTTCCATTAACATCTCTTTAATCCTTTTCCATTTTGTAAGAAAATAATTATTGATTGTTGATATTTAAAGATGCAAATGATACTCTTGTTGATGGCACAAAAATTATGATATTACCAACTATATCAGTAACTTTGTATTATTAGGGGTTATTTTAGTTTTTGCCAGTTTCTTACCTTATTGTGTTCATTATTATTGCAGCATGGACCCATCACCTATGTGTGGACCATTTAGGATATATAATAAACCATCAGACATTATTGATGTACAGATTAACAATGCTGCTTCCTGGTTCCAGACAGTATGGAATATAGTAACATCTGCTGCTGTTGTGTCAAGTCTTCTTATACTGTTGTTGTAAGTAACAATTATATTTCATGTCTGAATAAATCTCACCTCATTAAATCTAAAATAAACTTCAGTCCATCTTTCAGTCTGGACAAGACCATAATTATGTGTATTTAGGGGAAATTTTCAAAAATATATACAGACTGAAAAGAGAAAAGTGCAGATCATGATCATTTTGTAGAGGCTGACATGGCTGTAGGTACAGGCAAGACATTTTGGCATGTACATGTAATGATAAAAATGTATCATGACAAATGTTGGGGACAAATAAGGTGTTTCGGTAACAACTATGGTATATCAGATAAGCAGTTTACAAATTGAATACTGCATGATCTTTTAGATAATAGTGAATAAATGATCCATAAAAATGATTTGCAAATATTGCATGAAGGTAGTAAGTAAGTGATATTTTAACACAGAATTAATTGTTACACAGAATTTGTATTTGTAAGTAAGATTTTGATTTATTTATACAATCTGTCAGACACTTAGTTTAATAGGTGCATTTAATTTGTTAAAAGGGGTCACTGGATTGGTCATCTGGTGAGGTGAAATTTCTCTGTATCAATCTCATGAGATCAATTGTAGGTCACTTGTGGAGAAACATATAATTACTTGTTATTTAACCAGGGAATACTCTAAGATGGACTGACCACCAAGATATGACCAAAAATGTCTTACAATCAAATAAAAACCAACCGAACATTTATAAATACAAGCATGCTCATAGCATTATATTATAAAGTCAATAATAAATATTATAGACATTTTAGCAACATTTTACATGTGAAGCAATGTTTCAGTTGATGTTTTCTTTGTTATTTTAGATTAGCAATCTACTATTGTTCAGCATTAAACTCGGCACACAAAGATCTTGTTGAAAATATGAAAGATCAGTTAGTATTAGAAGGAAAGGATAAACAATATCTGCTGTCAAGAATTGCAGAGCTGACAGGAGAACCTCCTAAAAAACAACCACCTCCTTATCAAAAACCTCAGCTTAAAACAATTAATGAGACACCCCCACCACCTGTTGTAAAAGGGAAGAGCAAACCTGTGAAGAATTCAGATTTTCCAGAAAAGAATGGAGATATTGGAGTAGAGGTAAATAAGATGATAAAATAAAATGAAATATGTCAATCAAATTTAAATTTACCTTTTTTTAATTCTTCAAAGATACTCTGTATCTGGTGAACATTGAATTCTCTGTTATTATAATTTCTGATAAATTCGTTTTCATAGATGTTTTAAAGAAATACTTGTTACCAACTTTTAAAAATCATATATATTCTAATACCCAATAGTTTTCAAATTTATCTCTTTCCTTCAATCCTGGTTAATCTAAATCTACTTAATTGTATAATACTGCATGTTTTATAACATCAACTCTAATTTCATTGGACAGCCTACCTATATACTGTAATTCTTTAATCATAATTGTTTATATTCAAAGTTGCAGCAAATTTATTAATAAATTTTTATTTTAATTAAAGAATGGAATTATGCAGTATTATCAAATCCCTACACAAACTATTGACAGGTTATATGGCAATATGTCAACAGTTGTTTGCAATATAACTATTGCCTAACAGCAAAGGTAATAAGCTTTCAACTGGGCCATATATATTGGGCCATATAGCCAGTCAAGAATCTACTACAAACTATAACTTATCAATAATGGTCCTTTTCAGTGTTAGAATTTATTATTAATTTTTACTAAAAACCATCTAAATCCCACCCATAACTTCTATTTATCAATGAAAATTTAATGAAAAGTTAATAAAATAATAAAAGATTTTAATGTCTAAAATTTAAATTGGTTAAGAATATAAATTTCTTCTCTTTTTTATTTGATTATCAGTATATAATATTTTATATTTCATTTAATGTAGAATTAATGTGTAAAATGTCTTTGTTTTCTTGTATTTGTAAACTAAATGTTTTCAATCTTAAGTTATCTTTAGTTGCATTCTTACTCTTATTTTGTTTATATATAATACATGTGACCTGAAATTTAAAAGTTAAGAAATTCTTATTTTATTTTTGTTAAAAGATACTGAAATGTTTTTATCTAATTGACCATTGAGTCAGACAAAAGTAATTGATAAGATATTTTATAACTGATATATTCAAATTGCAAATATCTTCTACACTTTAGCTGGGACATACGATAACTTATCGTTTGTCCCAGACTTTAGTCATATGAATCATCAAGTTATGAAAAATACTTGGAACATTTTTTTATCACACAGGATCTATGGTGATTGGTTAACAATAGGTAGTGATGACATTAATTTATACAAGTTACTAGGCTCATATTGCTTGAAGTCAAACTTAACTCATTATGAATAACTCTAGAGGGATATTGTACAGTAAATGGTGAAATGTAAAAGTTGTAGGACTTTTGTGACAAGTGAGGATTCCCTGTGACAGGAGGAGATACCCTAGTTAGAATCACTGCCTTTATCGTATATTGATGTATGTCATGTATTATTATATTATGTTAGTATATATACCAAACATAATGAGTTACAGTTAGAACAGATATGAGTCTAGAATCTTTAAGCCTGGCTATCTATTTTATCCTGGTTTGAGCAACTTTATACAGCACTTTCACCCTGTTTTATATATAACTTGTTTGATCCTGTATTCACTATGATCCCAATTATTTCTTCTCTTATCACTCCAGCACTGGTAAGTTTTGCTTGTTTGTACTAACACATTGTTACAGAGACTTCTTTTCCATAACTTATCAAAGTTAAAAAGCTTTCTTATAGATGGTTTAAATAATTTTGCAGCTTTTAATGTTGATTTATTGTGTACTGTTTAATAATAATTTTACATTTGAGACCATTGGCCATTGGTGTTGATGTTGTGTGTTTAAATTATCTGGCCAAAAATGTTCTACTGCATGGCCAAAAATATCCTACGGACAACATGGTTTTGCTTGCATTCATTCTTTGGGCACAATAATTATGGCCAAATTTGTTTGTAAAAATATAATATTATATCCTTTAGTAGCAGTTGGACTAGCAACTGAAAGTTTAAGAACTTAAATATTTGATAGATATTGCTTAATCTGATGCATTTAAAATGTGTGTAATTAATTCACAAAGATCATTTAAATAGTGCTTTAGGTTAGGTATAGCATGTAGCATGTTTTTTTTTATTTCTTTGTACAAATAAAACCATTAGCCTTGTCTTGTTTGATTTGATTGATTTGGTTTGTTGATTGTTTGACGTGAATATAAGTTTCTTAATAAAAGAAATGAACAATACTTTATAGTTTAATGTGTAAAATATCTCCAAAAACTAATGGATGCAACTATTTTTATGCTCCCTAAATGTTTCAAGAAGTATTGACAGATTTTGATCAGACTTGTACTCTCTACCGTGAGACATATTTAAGGGAAAAAAAAAATGTCTGATAATTACCTGATGAATACAATAACATATATAACCCTTGACAACAGTAATGTCAGGATAAAATTCAAGCAAATTCATAAATTTAGTCCAATGTCTTACAAAAATAGTTTTGTTTTGAAGGTTTTTGATACGGATGTCATGTTTAACAGTTGTAATGGGTAGAGTTGGTTTTAAGTCAGAAAACGGCTAATTTTAAACATAACTTATGTTTATTATATAAAAAAATTGATTTTTTTGTTTTTATTTTAGTTGTTCTAAACCATTTATTAATAACGTTTTTATTTCTTTTAAAATGAAAGTCTGTTTACATCACAGCACATTTTATTCCCAATTACTAATTACACATAGAAAAAAAACACTATTTTCAAAGACTATATAGATGTTGATGGTACTTTTTCTTGTCTATTTGTCTTAGAAAACAGAAGAAATAAATTTGTATGGAAAAGAAAAGAGCATAATTCTCTCACCAGTGGTATGTTCACTGACAAAATGCATATTTCCTAAAATATACTAATAGAAGCCACTAACATTTTGTGTACTTTCACTTCTGGTCTTTCTTGCCGTATTTTTTTCACATTTTTATATTACCAGTTAATGACACACACATATATTTATATATGTGTGTTTGTGTCATAGGTATTTGGAATGTTTGGGGTTAAAGGTTAATTGGGTCAAGGTCATTATTGTTAAATGTTCAAATTCACCCCATAAAGTCTGTAGTGCTTTCATATGTTGAATAAGTTTTGATATGTAGCTACTTTCTGCATATGTGTACTTTTTTATAGATATAAACTTTAATGATATTTAGGTACAGGTCATTGGGGTAAAAGAACTAGACTAGTTTTTTCTACATTCTTCTAACTTTTGTCATTGTTTGTTCACAGTGTCAAAGTGGTATCTGCATTTATCATTTGATTGCACAAATATCTTGATATTTGAATTACTATTTATGTTAAAATTATGTATTTTAAATAGAAATGCAAAATGAAATTTTTGCAGCAATTCTCACATGCCTCTACAATCAATGAACATTAGATTGATTTTCTTTTTGGTTTAAAAATATAAATAGTTTTTGTAGATTTACAGTGTCACAGTATATTTGTTTACTAGTGGTGGATTAATTCAGTCATAACAGTCTAGTATTTTTCTCACTGCTTTGTCATAAAACAGTGGTTTGGATAATAAAGTTGTTGTTCTTGTATATACACTTAATCTTTGTAGTAGTATGATGAAATTGAAGGGAGATGATTTAAACATGAAAAGATAGAATTTGTATGTTTTTTACTTTGTACTACTTCCCTTTATCAAAGTGTGCAATAATTGGCTGATACAATATAATTGCCAAGAAGGACATTTATTATGAAAGGAAAGTCACTGTGATAAAAATATGATTATTTAACTAAGTAAAGGATCATCTTTTTATATTCTTATCTGCCTGTTATTTTAAACCCATGTATCTATGACCAGCCAACTACATGGACATGCTAGCTTGACCAAAATAAAAAAGAATTATTCCAGATAAAGGGAAAACAATCATATTATATAAAATACAACCAAAGTGGCTGAATTTTGTCTTGTTTGTGTGCACAATTGTTTGATTTTTTAACATTTTGGATTGACTAATACAACATTTTAATCACTGTTTCTTTAAACATTATATTGCCTCTCCTACTGTTAGAATGTCTACAAGTGTAAATTGCATAGATTAGTTGAAGAGTGACATAAAGTAGTACATTGTCATATATTGTCACATATATTACAGCTTTGGTAAATTTTAGAAGTTTTAAGCCAGTTTAATAAATCACATTTTAGTGTCAGTGTATTTTTTGTTTTAATACAGCAACTTCTTAAGCCTTTTTTAATATTTATTTTTTTGAAATAATCAGTATGCTGAAGCATATAGTGTTACATTTATTTTCAGTTTAGTTTGTTTCAGTTTTCATGACTAATTTTGCAATCACTTTTATTCTGTAATGAATTGCTTGAAGACTCATATTTATTATAAATGGTCAAAATAAGTTTGAAGTCTTATAAAAAATTTCTATAACATGTCATTGATCATAAAATGTTTTGATATTACAGAATGGTGTAGCTCCTCAACCAGCATTGTACAAAAATGAAAAAGATGTAAAACCTGTGACACCAGCTGCTGATTTCCGTGAAAACACCTGGAATAATCCGTCTCCAGACACCTCCCATTTTGTCAACAAGTCCAGCCCTCCTCCAGTCGTCCTACCAGTGAATACCAGATCCTCTCCACCAGCAAAACTGGTATCTACGGCAGATAATCAACCTTCTCCTGTAAATAACACACCTAGTTACAGGGCACCAGTTCTAAAAAGTGATCCTGTGAAAGATTCTACACCAAACAATGGACATGGGTCATCTCCCCTGTTTGCAAACAACTCTAGTAAAAAGACGGCAAAAGAAGCCCTGGATGACTGGTAGACTAAATACACATACTTTGTAATATACAGTGATGTAGAACAATATTTTGTGATAATTTTTTTCTGTGATATTTTTATTTAACATAAGGTATTACATTTGTTTACTAGTATTATAACTAGTATTATATTTTTATAAGAACATTTTTTCTCTGAAACATATGATAAGCAATTATTTCTTTCATTCCTACCAGAAAGTTGGAAAATACATTTGATTGGTCATCATAATGTTTGGGTATAAGAAACTGAAATTAAATATAACCATAGGTTAGGACAATAAATTGTAACATTAATGATTTGGGTTATGACAGGCTGTTTACAGTAATTTGATTTGTGAATATATTAAACATGTGATGGAAATATTCATAATGTAAAATATATGCAATAACTTGTAAAGAGCTGCATATAATGTGTGATTTTGTTCATTCTCTTTAACTTTCAGTTTACCATTACCATGCTTGATATCTTAAATGGACTTGCCCATTCTTTTATTATGAACAAAACCATTTACCTTTTGTAGGGAAAAATTTGATAGTGAGTACTAACATATTAGTGACCAGTGCGAACATGATCACACTGCACTGTTTACCAGCTGATCTTGGTGTGCACTGTTTACCAGCTGATCTTGGTGTGCACTGTTTACCAGCTGATCTTGGTGTGCACTGTTTACCAGCTGATCTTGGTGTGCACACTGTTTACCAGCTGATCTTGGTGTGCATTGTTTACCAGCTGATCTTGGTGTGCATTGTTTACCAGCTGATCTTGGTGTGCATTGTTTACCAGCTGATCTTGGTGTGCATTGTTTACCAGCTGATCTTGGTGTGCATTGTTTACCAGCTGATCTTGGTGTGCATTGTTTACCAGCTGATCTTGGTGTGCACTGTTTACCAGCTGATCTTGGTGTGCATTGTTTACCAGCTGATCTTGGTGTGCATTGTTTACCAGCTGATCTTGGTGTGCATTGTTTACCAGCTGATCTTGGTGTGCATTGTTTACCAGCTGATCTTGGTGTGCATTGTTTACCAGCTGATCTTGGTCAGCACTGTTTACCAGCTGATCTTGGTGTGCATTGTTTACCAGCTGATCTTGGTGTGCACTGTTTACCAGCTGATCTTGGTGTGCATTGTTTACCAGCTGATCTTGGTGTGCATTGTTTACCAGCTGATCTTGGTGTGCATTGTTTACCAGCTGATCTTGGTGTGCATTGTTTACCAGCTGATCTTGGTGTGCATTGTTTACCAGCTGATCTTGGTGTGCATTGTTTACCAGCTGATTTTGGTCTGCACTAGCTGTATGAGTAGAATCAGTTTCTGCAAGCAGGATAAAAGTTCAGTGGGCAGATAGCTCTACAAAAAATAATATCATGAAAAAATATCATTTAAATGTAGATAGATGTCTAATATTAAAGGGACTCCACTGAGGTTTTTTGACATGATGGGACTGGAAATACTTTTTTGAGATTATTACTCCATTTGATTTAGATCTATACCAATAACTTATGTGCAAAATTTCAGATCATTAGCTCGCTCCGTTTTTCCAGAATAATTATTATAATAGTGAAAAATTACCCAAAATTGAAAAGTGTTTAAACGCTTTTCACTCAAATCGGACTGAAAATAGCACAGACATACGATTTTTAATATATTTCTTATATATTTCTTAATTATATCTTATTTATGTTTCTATTTTAAGTGCTCATGTTTGTCTATGTGAAAAATTAAGATTTTATGTTTTTAGGCTTATAAACCTCAGTAGAGTTCCTTTAACTTTTTATTTTACTTTTTTATATTGCTTTATGATTAAACCATTTTCTGTTTTAATTTTGACAAGACCATACATCTTTTTGATTTGTCAAGCGACAGCACATATATGCCAGCTGATCTTTGTCCGCACTGCTCAAATTGGTTAAAATTCTGTTTTTTTGTTTTTCTTTGGTATAAACTCAAAATATGATAATTATACATTTATTGTGTGGCTGTCTGAACACTGTTTAGATATTTTTAAATCTGTACACTTAATTTATTATCATGCTTCAATTATGTACCTACTTTGGTTGATATATTTATACATATATTTCTATGTTTATTTACAATCTCTTGTTCATGCTTGAACTATCATTTATTATTTTTATTTCTGAGCTGGTCTCAAAGTGATGTTTGTGCATAAATTATACTTTTAAAAGATATGTTAACGCCTTTGTTCACAGCAGCAATAACTCATATGAATATTTATATATTGAACGTGTTGTACAATGTACTGTTTTATTGTTGTTGTATTTTTAGCTTGACTTTTGGAAGAATAGTAAGGCTATCATATTCACATGGCGTGAATGTTGACGTAGGAGTAACACTGGTTAAAGTTTTGCATTCAACATCATATCTCATCAACCACTAATGATATTTGCTTGTAACTTGACACATGTATTTGAGAGTATTATAGGGGGTCACTATCCAAGGCCCATAACTCTAGCATGGATTTGGTAGAATTATGGCCCTTTTTGAACTTTGAATTTCATGGTCAATGTGTTTGCATGATACATTATTCTTCAAAACAACTAAAGGTTTTTACTTATAACTATATACATGTTTGCTGTATCATAATTGAAGGTCAGTTGCTAATGTCCATAACTCTCTCACTGATTTTGACTGAATTATGGCACTTTTCACAATATTTTCTTAGTTCAAGTTTTTCGTACAAGATCAGTCTTAAAGATCCTGTATGTTTTGTGATTGATATTGTTAGTGTTTGTATACTTCTTCTTCTTCTTCTATTCTATGCTTAATGAGGGTCCATCCGCCCTTTCGGGCACAAAATGCAGCTTTCGCTGTCGAAAACGGACCCCGGACATGTTACCAGTCAGGTCCTTAAAGGGTTATTTTTGAACCACAAAGTAGTGATATTTTACCTCCATGCAATTTCCACGGAGAATTAGCCAAAGATAAGAATTTTGAGCCGAAAAGTAGGTCACTGTCACTGTACAAGTAGGTCACTGTACGGCGGTCAATGAGAACCTAAATGTACAGTAACCTGTGACAATAGGTTACTGAATGAGTGTTTGTATACCACACTTGCAAAACATTAAATATGTATATAATTATGCAAATAAAACAATTTTCAAACACTGAAGAATATGTAAAATGTGTACTGCAAATATTTATGCACATTATATTTAATCAATAAATTATATGCATTCATTTCTTAATGGAAACTTTGGCTAAGAATTTATAGAAAATAAATTTCTAATTACCTCCCTTTATTTGCATGAAATTTTAAATTCGGTAATATCTTTATAAATAATGCTTATTGGAACTTAAATTATTAACAAATCTTAATTTGAGCATCATATCTTTGAAATAAAACCATGAAAAAAATGTGTTACAGGATCTTTAACTATCGAAGGTATTCGCATAAAACTTAATACATATCTTTAGGATCATATTTGGAGGTCACAATTCAAGGCCCATAGCTATGACATGTGTTTTGACTGAATTATGGCCTTTATGAATTTAGAAAATTTTTGGTTTAAGCTTTGCTTGCAACATGATCTTTCATAAAAGTACTGATTGTATTCACTTGATTAATGCTTTTTGAATTACAATATTGAATGAAAACAGGCTCTTCGTAAACTTAACACAATTTTTTGGTCAATATCCAAGACTCATAACTATGTCATGTACATTATGTTAATATTTCTGAATGAAATCTTCCTCATTGTTAATTCTTAAATTATCCAGGCTCTTATACTACTATCAAATACTGAGAATAGTCAAGCAAACTGTTCTATCTATGGACAGCTCATGTTTATATAACTTTTGTTATCTAATTATTATTTGCTATTCTGACTTTTTAGCTCTCCTATTTAAAGAAAAGGGAGAACTTTGTACTCGACTCAGCGTAGGCATTGCATAACCCTTTTGCAAGTTTGTAGAAGGGTTTGGGTTGAAACTTTCTACATTTAATGTTCTCAGTGATGGCACAGGTCCCATTAACTTTGATTTAATAAATGATTTAGTTATGCCCCCTTTTCTTACTGTCAAGGACTGAAAATAGTGAAACGCGCACTGTCTTACTGACAGTTATTGTTAAATCATAAGTTTAAGAAAATTGTAAAAGTAGACAACTATTACCAGTGTTGTATCAGGTTGATGATGGTCTGAGATAGAAGTATCATGTGTTTCACAATAATTTATAAATATTGGACAAATTTCATAACAATATTACTAAAATCAACCTTATTATAACTTTATAATTATATTATGATACATTGTCCATATACTTTTGTATGTTTGTTTTAATATTTGTCATCAACTAAAGCTTTGTTTTCTATGAACCTGCATGACAGAATAAGAGTGATATTTGAATAACCTTAAAATGGGGTCATTGGAAATTGTAAAAAAAAAAAAAATTGTGTACTTTTATGTTACATTTTACTATTTACCTATGCATATTCATCGAGAGCTGACAAGTCTGGAATTAACTCAGATTGATAATATAAATACATATTTTATAAGGAAAATTATTATTTTCTGTGTTGTCAATTTAAAGAAATATATTTTACAGTTTTATTTTATGAACTGTTAAGCTTTACTCATATTTAGAAAACACTTTGAAGAAATATTCACATTCCGTCCACATGACATTGTATTAAATTTTGAAAAATTAATGCTCCTTTTTAAGTTTTTCATATACATGTAAATACATGGTAATAAAATATTTTCAGCATTATGTATTTGTGTGTGGTTTTTGTTCGCTTCAATTGCGATCCAACGTTACAAATTTATGAAATATGTATTACACTTTAAACATTATACATCTGTGTATGTGCTGACAAAGCTCTTTATTGTTTATGATATACCATAAGAGCTGCAGTCAAGCATTTCTGATACATTAATCTGGGGATCTCTGCATTGTTTTCCTTAACAATCTTTCTGTGTAAATTAACTACTGTACATTAGATTTTAAAGCAGCACGCCTCCAGATTCATGTTAATTTTCAGGAAAATTTTGAAAATGTATTTGAAAGTAAAATATTGTGAGGTGAACAAATAAAGTTTTTTACATGTTTCACTCGGCACAATCTATGCAAATAACCGAAAAGAGGTCAAAATATGCAAAAACAGCCCTTACTGCGTTAGTAACGCAGTAGAAATATGCTGATAAAATACTGCAAAATCGGTCTTAAAACGAAATAACATGTAAACTAAAACACGAATCTTGAATGTTTTTACCTTTCTTAAAATATTAGTACAGTTTTCTCAATTTTTATTTTTATTTGAAATATTTATGCTCATCTGGAGGCGTGCAGCTTTAAAAACGTAATCTTTGAGATGCAGTTGAAGAAAAGAAAAAAAAAATGATAAAGCTTCAAGTTTCTGAGAAAATAAAGTATAGACCATACAATGTATGAAACATTATTTTTGAAGATTGCACGATGGGTGACACCGTTTGTTAGAGCAATCTTGAAATTGATGTTTGATAACAATACATTCAGAAGATAACGTGTAATATAACTTTTAGGG